GACTTCTGCACAACACAACTGATGGTCCCAACCCCATTGATAAAGCAAGAAATTCCACTAATTAACCCTGATAAGGCACACCTGTGAAGTGGAAACCATTTCAGGTGACTACCTCTTGAAGCTCATGGAGAGAATGCCAAGAGTGTGCAAAGCAGTAATCAGAGCAAAGGGTGGCTATTTTGAAGAAACTAGAATATAAAACATGTTTTCAGTTATTTCACCTTTTTTTGTTAAGTACATAACTCCACATGTGTTCATTCATAGTTTTGATGCCTTCAGTGAGAATCTACAATGTAAATAGTCATGAAAATAAAGAAAACGCATTGAATGAGAAGGTGTGTCCAAACTTTTGGCCTGTACTGTACATTCCGTGTCCAGACCCATTTGCGCTTTGCGAATTGGGTCTGGACATGCCAGGCTAGTCTGCAGGTCCTTTAAAAAGTCTTAAATGTCTTAAAAGTCATTAAATAGTCTTAAACTTGAATTTGTTAGGTCTAAACTTCTACAAACATTTGATCTAATTTCATTCATCTTTTAATTTCTTTTTGTGAAAATGAGTGAAGCTTTTTCTATATGAAAGTCCACATTTATAATGTTACAAATCTTTGAAAAACTATAATACTGTCATTTTACTTCATAGTTGCACTTACCTTTTGGCAAAATGTTGATCAACTTAACCCAATCTAATGACCATTTTCCTATATAACACCTACCTCTGCACAAGACCACATTTATACTACTTACCTGCAATGCTTACCTGCGATGCTTGATTAAGTAAAATGTCATGTGTCCAAAAATCAGTCCTAAATTTGGTGGAAAGGCATCTTGAAAGGGATTAAATTTGACTGTTTGATAACTGTAGACACCCTGCTTGTGCTGTTGTTGCATCTGCTGTCCAGGTGACTGGTCTTAGACGGTCTTGCAGGTAAACATGCTGGATATACAGCTCCTGAGCTGGTGTGGTTACACACAATCTGCAGTTGTAAGGCTGGTTGGATGTACTGCCAAATTCACAGAAAGGACACTGGAGGCGGTTTATGGTGGTGAAATGAACAGTAAGTTCATGGGCAACAACAACTTGGGTGGCATTCATGCAGTCAACATGCCAATGCGACGCTCCCTCAAAACTTGGGACACCTCTGGCATTATGTTATGTAGTAAAACTACACGTTTTAGATTGGCCTTTTATTGTGACCATCCCAAGGTACACCTGTGTAATAATGATGCTGTTTAATTGGCATCTTGATATGCCAAACCTGTCAGGTGGATGGATTATCTTGACATGTGCTCACTTAGATGGATTTTAACAAATTTGTGAACAATATTTAAAAGAAATATTTCTATTGAGCACATAAAAAAAGTTCAATTTTTCTGCACATACAGATAATATAGGCAAAAGAAATTAAAAGTTAAAACCAAAAATGGCATATAAAGATACCTCTCCTGTTAAATAACAACAATCATACATTAAAAAAAAGATAAAAATGAAGATTGTGTAATTGAACAAGAGTTCCAAACTAAGAAGTGACACAAAATTGTTAAAGATGTACAATTTACAACAACAAAAACACAAACATATTACAAAAGAATCGATGAAGTGTTAAGAGTCTTTACAAATTATAAAAAAAAAGTCTAATACTGAACAAAAATTTAGACACAACACTTTTGTTTTTGCTCCCATTTTTTTTTTACATGTTTAAATTAAAGATCTAAGAAGACTTTTATGCACTCAGTAGATATGTCTCTCTCAAATATTGTAGTTACATGTGGTCTGCGGTTGTGAGGCTGGTTGGATGTACTGCCAAATTCACAGAAACTACATTGGAGGCTGCTTATAGTAGTGAAATGAACTAATAAATTCAATTTGGTAGGGTATCATGAAAAGTCCGGGTAAGACAATGTCGGAAAAGGATTATAATACATGAAACAAACACTTGTTAAACACAAAATAAATACAAACTTGTCAAATTATAATCCAAACTCACGTCAAATTGTCTTGGCGTTGGTTTTCTATCCGTCTGGTCCATTGGCATATGCAGCTAGTTTGCGGTAGGGATGTAACGATATGGAAAATTTGATATCTCGATTATAGTGACCAAATTATCACGGTAAACGATAATATCGCGATATTTTTTTAAGCGCTGTAAAATAATAGTTATATTGAAATAACTTCACTAAATCTTGTAACTTCCTTATCATACTAAAATGTTAACAGCCAAAATCTTATATTAAAATGAAACTTTCACATTAAAAGGGCAAGGGATTGGCACAGCAACAGAAAATTTTATTTTAAATTAACAAAATATGTAAACAAATTACAGGAACAAAGCTTATTTGTCTGGTGCATTTTAACAGTCAGCAAAATATGTAAACAATTTATATATTATTTATTTATTAGCACGAGAGGAAAAATATATATAAAACAAAACAATGCAAGAGTAGAAAAAAAACATACAATATATAGAATAGATATCACAAATGTACAGGAGAAACCAAAAAAACCCTAAGGGCAATGGTCATCATTACACAGAATAATTCACACATTAGATGTGTGCATGTGAAGGAGTGCCTGTATGAGAAAAGGAGTGCATGTTCTCGTGTGTGTGTGTGTGTGTGTGTGTTAGGTCAAGACTGTGAGCAGTGAATTTAATTATAAAACCGAGAGCCCCCATTAAGGCATTCGGTCAAAGGTTAACACGGCAGCGTTTTATGTTGTTTCCTTGAGCTTATGTCGAGAAAGCATAACTGGCCGTCTATATCGATTCTAGCTCGCCATACAATAACCATAATCACAGTGATTCAATCATTCAATCATCATAGTTGATGTCAATTAGCATTACGTTAGGTTGGTTTATATTCTGTCGGCTCAGTGTTTTCAGCTCCGTTTCGTTTTGAAACACTTAGCAACATAGCTGCTAATATGGCTATTAGCTACACAGCTAGTATTAGCTCCTAAGTGTCTTAAACGAAAACAGAAAACCTAGTCGTCGTTTAGGAGGACAGATACGGCTCAAATGTCCCGTATACGTCGAGAGTTACACATTATGACAATAATAGTAAAACCGAAGTCCCTCACACAATAACTGACGTTTGCATGGCATAACTTGCATTGGCTGTAAAGCTGTGGATGATGGTCACGGAGATGAGCCAGCAGATGTGTCGTGTTGCTACCCTTCGCAGCAACTTTCTTTCTGCATGTTCTGAACACAGGATAGTCGTCCTCCACCAGCTGTCCCTCGGCATTCTTCAGAAACCCAAAGTACTATTTGTGTTTACACATGCTACGCATTCACACGGCGCCTGCATCGCGAGACTTGAATGAGGCTGTTATTACATATCCTGATAATCCACCGCGATAATGCAATTAATATAAACATAAACGGTAATTCTTAGCGTGTAAAAATTAACCGAGATTTACCGTAATATCGGTAATCGTTACATCCATAGTTTGCGGCAGTGAGGTCTAACATGCAAGTAAAGTCAGTAAAGTGCTCACTAACACAGATTTTTTTAAACAAATTTGCATTCAAAATTTGAGGTATATATATCTATTGAGTGATTGAGCAGCACAAACAGAGGTCAGCATTGTTATTGTAACAGTCGGCATGCCTAGTGACTGGAACCGTAATGCGCATGTGCGAAAAGTCTCCGTTTTCAGAGGAACTGCATATTGCACGTTTACATGACAACGGAGACGCTGCCTTTTCCAAAACTTTGCACTCTGGAATCCGTTTTCAAATCGTTGTGTTTTCAGGCACTCAAAACGCCGCTGTTGTGTAAACGATTGGCCAAAACGCAACTAAAGTTTACCGTTTTCAGTTGAAATCGTTGTCGTCTAAACGGGGCCTGACATACACATGTGCTTATCATGAGTGTACAGCATACATATAATGCTTCTACATACTACACACACATACACACACACACACACACACACACCTAACTAGGTTACAAATGTGTTGTTTAGTGTGTGAGGCTGCTAACTGAATCAGTCTGCACGCTCACACACACACACACACACACACATCTTTTGGAGGCTGGTAATTAGTCCAAGCAGTAAGGTGATAACAAGCGCCAGCCACACGTTTACACCGGAGGTGTTGGTGCCAGCATGCTGCTGGAAGTCACAGCCCCACCTAGCGCACACTTCACCCCCCTCACAAGTGGATACCCTGAAACACAGTTGTGCAGGCACGTGCACACAGACTATAGAGTACAGGATAATATGAGCATATTTAAGGCTAACACACACACGAACCTCACCTTTACTGAAACAGCATATGTTCACCAAGATAGTATATGTCTCCACCACGTTCTCCACCTACTGCTTCCTTCTCCCTTTTTTCTTTTGCCTGTCTTCTCTACCCACTCCTCCTCCTCCTCCTCCTCCTCCTCCTCCTCTATCTACACAATCTGTGAGTCATCTGATCCAAAAGGTGAGATGCAGCATTCAGTAGATTATTTTCATCTCGTCTTGCCACACGAGAGGCAGTCATCACTTTTCTTTTGTCTTCTTTCATGCCTCTCGTTGGCTTTCATCAGCCCGTCGCCCAGTGACAAGCTACAAGTTGAAACCTTGTTGCTAGTGACGGATATCGTGCAGTCTGAGGTCATGTGAGAATAGTTTGCTCACACCTGAATGCACTTTATATGAGCCCCCATAAGGTCATCTAGAGAGGGAGGTTTCAGTCTCTGCTTGCTGCTCATGATTGAACAGCAGCTTGATCAAATAGAGACGGTGTGTGTGTGTGTGTGTGTCATCCATCACAGGAGGTGGTCCCAGTCATAGCCGTCTTTGTTGCCATTAAAGGAGCTTGCTGCTTAATCTTATGTTGTTGCTATATTGATCACACATCGTATACTCATCCTGAAAAACATATTGGGGATTTGAGTCATCAGACACACGCTGGTTTCAGTCTATCCACTCATCTTTCCACGACCTTCTTCCCTCTCCCAACATGTCTCAGGTTTCATTCTCTCTTTCCTGTCTTTTTTTTAAGGTTGTGGAAACAGCAGTATGAGCGGCGACATGTACAACGCCGGCTACCGCTCCATCACCAACATAGACTACTCCTCTGTGTGCATCAGTACAATGAGTGCCAGGCACAGTGACTGCGAGGGTATGACCTGGCATTAGATGGACATACGCCGGCTCTCCTTCCCTGACGCATCCTTCGATGTCATCCTAGAGAAAGCCACGCTGGACGCCATCATGGTGGAGGAGAAGTCACCTTGGAAGGTGTCCCCAAACACAGCGTGTTTCATTCACCAATCACTCAAAGAGGTATGTTAAAAATCTGTGATGTTTCTTGAATTGAGATCAAAAGTTTTATTGGAAATACTTGCCAAAATTGATAAAATCTTTGGGAAAACATAAGCTGGGAGTTTTGGTGTTGGGTTTACACACTGAAAAAAGATGTCACACTGCAAATGGCATCGCTAAATACTGAAGGACAACCTTCCAATACCATTATAATGAAAGTAGATCCACTTCTCAGCTGCAGCAGTTTTTATGCCAGCACTCAAGAGTTCTTAATATCAACACAAGCCCAATGGATCAGACTGGGTTTAGGCTGAAAATATGTGCTGATTGGCCGGGTCGGGTAGGGTTCGAGCTGTAGGGAAAAAGTTCTTCTTTTGCTGTAGCCTGCTGGCTTTTGACCAATGACCGGCCAAGTGAAACAACAGAGGGGTGAGGTGAGGGAGCTGTCAGTGTCAGTGTCACTGTCAACAAGGTCAGAGAGAAGAAAATACAACAATATGGAGGTGGTGATAATTAAGTCGAAGTTAGCTTAAGGTGATCCCCCCTCCTCCTCGTACAGCCAGGCTCCATATTGGGCTCTCTGTCTTTCCTCCCGGCCAGTGCAAGGAGCTTCTCCGGCCGGGAAATACAGTGTAGAAAGTCGGTGATCCTTGCATCGCCACACAGCCAGTGTGTCCTAGGCTCTAGAAGCTGACTAGTGCTTTTTGGGGGGATTTGGCTTGGTCGGGCTTGGGCTCAGTATTTTATGTGATGATCTTGGACAGGTCAGATACGAGCTTCAACTCACACAGGTGTGTTCTCTTCAGGTTGTGATTTTTTCAGCCTCTACTCCACCCTGGCGACAGCCATGGGCAAAGGCATCATGCTTCCGGGTTGTTTGTCCTTTCCATTCTTGCAATATCTCAAGAAAACTTTGAGGTCATTCCTTCAAATTTGGCACAAACATCCACTTGGACTCAATGATGAACTGATTTAAGGTCATTGTGACCTCACCAAGCACATTTGTGATGACATTTCATATCCAAAAGGTTAAAGGTCAACTTCACTGTGACATCATGATGTTCTGCAAAAACACTTTTCTGGCCATTACTAAACGTCATAACTCAGGAACAGAAGGGTAGACATTTGGTCGGATACTAAACTGGTGACACTAATCTTGTGTTTCCACCTTGAAACTGTGCTGATTGAAAAGATCCTCTGTGCTGCCCCGTTGAAGATATTTGGAAAGCATCAATGTTTCACCAAAAAGTACACTTACTACCTGCTATTAAGTTCCTCTTTATTCATTACATGTATTATATAAGTCTGGACAGACATGGATGTTAACTGCAACCTGACTGATTTGCAGAGGCACACTACTGTAAGGCAGTAATTATAACTTCATTTAGGGTTAGTGCTAAAAATGACAGCTGTATGAACAAAGCAGAGTACAAAATCTGTAGGCGAAAACCGCGCAGGCTCTTCAACAAGTGGCTTAATCAGACATGCAGGCTGTGATCCCCAAAATCAGAATACAGAGTGTAGCATTCAGATGTGCATAAGAAAGCTCTGACGTTATGTGCAGCAGTACTGAAACAACAAAATGGCTGCATGTGCCACTTTTTTTTTCGCTGCTAGAACACTTGGTACTAATCTTAGTTAGGCAAAGTGTTCATATGCTCCAGTATAGCCAGTCAGATGTGCTGAAACTTGTGCACCCCATAGGATGCCATCAACAAAAGATGACTGGCATTATGTTTTTCTGCAGCCTAAACAGCGTGTTGTGCTGAAATGAAGTCTGATAAACTTATCAGATGATGAAGAGATAAATGGTTTTGACCAGAACAAATTTGTGTCAGCAGTACTCTGAGTCAAGCATAATTGAAGCAGGCCACCGTTTATCCTGTGTGGATAATCACTTGCATCTCCAGTCTCACTCTGCAACACAGAAAATGCATTCAGATATATGACTCATTTTACACCAAAGGAGTGTTATCTTTAGCTCTTAGTTACTGAAAGGGAAAATGAAACAAGCACTCTTAAAACAAAGTGTCATGCATTAGCCCCTTTTCCACCAACAAATATTTCCAGGAATCTTTATTTCCAGGGACTTATATACCTGGGTAAAAGAATTCCTGGTAGTCTGTGTGGTTTGCGTTTCCACCGCACCTCAAAGTTCCAGAGAATTTATTCAAATCAGGCTGATGACCTAGATGATTTGCCGTGTGACCTGTATTTGACTCCACCAGCTTGTTTACTGGTAACATAGTGCTGGCGTAGAGAGCAGTGGCTGTTTGTGTCAGTTTGAAAGTATTTTAAGATAAGTGTCAAACTAAGTTAGTTTACATACAGACAGCTGCCATTTGAGCTTATTAGTAACAGTTCACTAACAGCTGAACTAGCGTGCTGTCCTTGTGTAAGACATAACGTTAGTGTTGGTGGATGAGAGACTGTGGACGGAGCATATTGAATACCGCTGTCTACATGTTTACATGTTCATGTTTGCTGAACACATGTATTGATAAAGTGTTGACTTCTTACTCGCTAAGGGTTAATGCCACTTACAGTAACGAGTGTAGCTGCCGTCAACTCGAGTCATTTTCGAGTTATCTTCACTTCGTTTCCACAGCGGCCACTCGGCTGTTCACCGGTTACCGTGTTGTGTCGGGGTGTGTGTATGTGGAGGAGTTCAGTGCCAGCACAATGAACCAATACCGTTAGCGCTTATGAATACTACGGCCTTTGATAATTTAGCTCCGGGGCTAATTTAATACCGGGTTTCAGTACCCATGCTTAATCAAAACACAAAGGAAGTGAAGCTTGTAGAAATTAAATAAAGTTTGCAGTGGCTGCCCATGCCAGGAAGTGCGGAACGCTGCAAGTGTGTGTTCCACCAATCAGTTTTCTTCAGCAAACAGCCCCACCCCACCCAAGAATTCCGGGTAATCTACTTGGTACTTTTTTCAGAGAAAGTTTGGGGGTGATGGAAAGTTTTTTTCCTGGTTAATTTCTAGAGTTGTACCGATACCGATACCAGTATCGGAAATGCCTCCGATACTGCCTAAAATGCGATATCGGGTATCGGCGAGTACAGCCTAAGACCAATCCGATACCACGTAATGCCGCACGTCATTACGCATACGTACGCTACAGGCAAATGAAATTGAAATGTAGTGGAGTTTAAAAAACATTCTACTGTAGCATTTAAAATGTCTTTTTTACCAAATTGTGTAGCTGCACTTTAACCTGTGTCTTGATCTGTATCAACACTGGATAATAATAATAAAAAAAGTTTTATGGCATTCATTTTATTATTATGTATTCATTTCTCAATATTTTACAGTAGTTTTAGGAGTTGAGACATACAACAATTCATATCCCATCCATTTTTATTTTACGCGCTGGTATCGGAACGGTACTCGGTATCGGCAGATACCTAAGGTTCAGGGATCGGAATCGGTATCGGGAAAGAAAAAGTGGTATCGGTACATCTCTATTAATTTCGCAGGAAATGCTCCAAGGTTTTTCAAAATCCTGGGTAAATGATAAAAGTTCCTTGTAGGCGTGTTTGCCTGTAAAGCCTCCAGCCACTCTGTCATTCTTCTAAACAATATCTAGGACGATCTCTGGTTAAGCACAAACTTGTAAGCCTCTAATAAGTAAAATTCAGCAACTTCCATAGTCTTTCATTTCTACACTACAAGAGTTTGAGTTGGGCTGTCCCCGTCAGAGTTGAAGATTTGTCTTAGCAGTCAGAAAGCCTTTAGTTGAGCCATCATTTTTGTGTTTGTCAGTCGGTGTGCAGTGTATTTACTGGGGAGAAGTTTCAGCCACAGAGTGAGCGCTTCTTGCTGCTCCATGGCACAGGCAGCTGCGGACCCAGACCCAGGGTGAGTCTGAGTCAGACGGAGGCAGCTGTCTAGAGGTCAGGTTCCAAGATTACGTTATCTTCTGCCTTCTGCTGAGAAGTGGTAAATTTACAGCTTGCATGCATTAGCTCCGAGGGCTAACTTGGCTTGTTTACTACATTGCATTTAATCATAAGTGCTATATCGTAGGCAACTGGACTTGCTTGCGTTTCTTGAAGACGTTTCACATCTTATTCAAGAAGCTTCTTCAGTTCTAAATGACTGGTACGGAGTTGCAGGCTTTAAACCCTGTGTGGGTGTGGCCAGGTGGGTCAGCGACTCACATTGTGACTTTAACGACTCTGAAATTAAGAGCTCACATGACTCTGTTTCTACTTGGATAAGAGGCGAAACTTCTTCAAGAAACGCAAGCAAGTCCAGTTGCCTACAATATAGCACTTATGATTACCATGACCTGGATGACTGAGAATCTTCACCGACAAGACTACATTACGTTTACATCCTTGTTACCCTGAACATCCCACCGAAACCAGTTTAAAATCACAAACTCTATATACTGTATCATAAATGCTATATTGTAGGCAACTGGTTGAGTTGAGTTTCTTAAAGATGTTTCACCTCTCATCCAAGAGACATCTTCAGTTCTTTAAACTCTTTGTGGGTGTGAACCCTTACAGAGTTGTTTAGGTCACATGTGAGTCGTTGACCCATCCGGCCATCTTGTGTGTCAGTATTGTCAGATGGGTCCAGTTGAGAATGGGCGTTAAGTTGTCTGGGAATGGATCCCAAGACTGCATTGGAGGTGGGTGATAAGTGGTGTCGTAGGCCACCTCCTCTGTTTACCGAAGTCTGTGTAGAAAAAAGGAAGAAATAGTGGAAAACTTGTATTGAACAGCCAAATCTGATGCAACTGAAATAATTCTGAGTCGGGCACAGCCTTAAGTTGGAAGATGTTTTTCCTTTTGAAGATTGGCATTTATTTTCTTGCAGTGATACATATAACAAAAAGGCTACTTGACATGAACTGTGTATATTTTACTGATCTGTCATCTTCCAGTCAGATCTGTACAGTGAGAAGAGTCTGTACTCGCCTGTGTTGATTTGAACGCTCTGCTACAGTAACAGTTTATCTGTAAACGACTTCTCCCTGACAGTGAAATCGGTAATAGTGGC